GAATTCAATAGTTACCGGATTTCAGCTTTCTTTAAAATATATTCTTTTGTGTTTAACATAAGAAAGAAACTCATAAAGGTTTGGAACCACTTGAGGATGAGTAAATGGTGAGTAAATTTGTGTCATGTTTTGGGTGAGCTATATATTTTAAGCAACATAAAAGTTTGCAGAGCTTTATATTTCTGGGCCTGCTTTAGATTTCATTATGATTTATAAATGCTGTGGCATTGTTTCAACAGTCAAAACTCCATTGTCCCCCTCAAAAGTTGCATGTAGTTTTTGGCTGAGATCTTGTCATTTTAATCCAAACAACTTTTTGTGTGGCTGCCAATGTATTTCAGACTGAAACTGATACTGATGTTCATATGAGCTAGAACGGCTCACAAGAAGTGTTTTGGAAAAACATTAGTGAGCAATACTTTGAAACCGGTATTCATGGTTCCTAAGAATAACATTAGTAAGTATTTTTAAGTAACCTTTCATAGAATTTATTAATAAGTAACCTTTCTGTCACATTTTGTAGGCTGTCATTTGGTCTGAGAAGTTACATATACTGTGTGACAACGGTCATAAAAAGAGGATTTTTCACAAAAGACAATCATATCACATTTATTTCCTCTAATCATTTTCTACTGAACTTACTTCATTCACAAAATCAAAACAAAACAAGCAATTTTTAAAAAGATTTGCTGCCCCTCTTTAAGTGTGAACAAATTATTCTCAGCAAACCTGTAGGCTTGTTCAAAATATAACTACACAGCAATCCAAAAAATATTTCATGTATAAATGTACTACTGCAGTTTGCCATTTCCAAATTGTTTGTATTGTATAAAAGGAAACCAACTGAAACCAAGGAAAGGATCAGTTTGTCAATTGTTTTTGTCTTTTTAAGGTTGTTATTTTCAATACTACACAGCACTTCACCAGGTGAACTTGTATCATGAGATATGGTCTGTGTTTCTCACCTAAAGGCACAATTGGATTATTAATATAAAATGATGAATGAATAAATACCCCCGGATATATATTATGCAGTGAAATTTGTGTTAAAGGATTACTTTTCTAAAAATAGGCTTATTTTAAAACTTCACTAGAGTTAAACTGGAGAGTTTTGCCATTTTTAGTTCATTCAGTCTTTCTCCTGCTCTAGCGGGAGCACATTTAGCTTATTTTAATACATAAATCATAAATCATTGAGTCCAATAAGACCATTAGCATCTCACTCATAAAATGACCAAAGAGTTTTGATTGTTTTTCCATTTAAAGCTTGGCTCTTCTGTAGTTTCATTGTGTACTAAGACTGAAGGAAAATTAAAAGTTACAAAATTCTTAATTGATATGACTAGGAACTATACTCTTATACTGAATCAAGGAACATAATAATCACAACAGACCCGGAGATTGGCTGAATGGATTGAAAAATTGTAAAAAGTAATAATAACTCCACAGAACACCATTTCCTGTGCATAATTTGTGATCTATAATAAAACTTGATGACAGAACGTGTGCAGCTGTAATTAAACTCTTTTTTTTCCATTAAAGGATAATAAGGGGTTTATACAATACAACAATAAACATTACAGTTTCCTTCTTTCTTTTTTTTTGTCGTCCCACCCCAAGACCTGAACATCTCAAGGCAGCTTAATATAATAATTAGGGTCAAATACAATAATTAATAGGTCTGTAATCATGCATGTCCTGACATAACAGTGATGGATGAAATAAATAAATTTATTTTAAAAAACAATTACAAAAAATAAAATGAGTAAGAAAATAAGGAAGAAAATAAATAAATAAATAAAAGATTGCAGGAAAAATTACGCACAAAAAACACCATGATACAGATACAGATATACAGATTATTTAAGAGCAGGGAATATCTACATTATTTAGGAAATTTCCTATATCCATTAGCTCTGAAGGAGATTCAGAAGTATATAATGAAGAGTAACTTTTTTATTTTTTTTTAATTTTTTATACATATTATTGATTTTTGGGGTGGGTTATTAAGTAATGGTTGATTAGAGTTACTGGTCTGAGAAATAATAAGTGAGGCGTTTCAGCTGAGGAGCCAAGAGTCGACTTGATTTGTTACCATATTCATAGTAGAGACCCTGTGTTTTCATTATTAATTGTGTAAGCTCTTAATAAACACAATTAACTTGAACTTAACTTAGTTGAACCACTTTGAATCATCATATGAGCCATAACCATTAATGAGTATTTTGTCCTACGTTCACTTTTAGGAAGGTTTTTATGCAAAGAATTTTATTAACAAAACCCCTACTCTGCGGTTTTCAGGTCTTCCTTTGGCTCCAGCTGCTGTCACCTCCAGTTCGGGGAACCCATGGGTCTCTGTGCTCTACACCTGGGCTCTGGTGCAGGTACTTCTCTATGCAGCTCTTACTGTTACTCATGATACTAAATAGGAAACGTATGTTCAGATGTTTTTGTGTGTGTTGTAGTGTACGCTGTTTGCAGGGCAGCTGAATGTGATTGCTGGTATTGTGACAGTGTTTTATCTGTTGGCGTATGCTGCGGTTGATTTGGCCTGTCTTGCTCTGGAATGGGCATCTGCTCCAAACTTCAGGTATGCATACGTGTTCTAAGAAACCACTTTTTAAAATGTAGTAATCAAGGAAAGTTGGGTTGCACTGCACATATTAAAGAATGATGCCTTCTACAGAGAGCAGCACAGAATTAATTTCAAAAAGGAATATCTTGTATCATTTTATAAATGTTTATTTTTTCTTATTACAATTTATTGGTTTGATGCATTGATTTATCTGATTACCAGCAGATTGAGTATTTAATTCTGTTAGGGATGATAATCAATGAAAAAGAATGTATCCAATTAATTACAAGATTTTTCAATTAATGTAATTAATCACTAATTAATAGCACAGTATTTTGGTGCAAAAAATTAATTCAGAATACAGTACAGGAAATTTTTTGTATCTTCCATAGTTTTGAGATGCACAACACTAGTTCAAATCCCTGATTCATTCAGAAAAGGAAACATCACTACGTGCTGATTGTAAAAATGCACAACAGTTCTGTTGTAACCTTATAAATAATATCATCTTTAGCAAAACTGAGCAAAAACAGACAATATTGTGTCAAAAATAGTACAGAATACAAAATTATTTACTGTTATATAAACTCTGCATCACAATGTGCCTGTCTGAACAAAAACAAGCTCTCATGGGATATTTAAGTCACTGCTCAACTATGTCATGAGATTAGATTGCTTAACTGCTTACAAATATGAGACAAAAGCTCATACAGTTGACATCATAGTTATGTGGTAGATGTGACGTTAGTATGATGGAGGAAAGGGACATAATTTTTGAACACTTTATATACTCATTCATTCATTCGGCTTAGTCCCATTCCTTTTGACTGTCTTAGGGGTTGCCACAGCGGAATGAACCGCCAACCTATCCAGCATATGTTTTACGCAGCAGATTCCTTGCAGTCACAACTCAGTACTGGGAAACAGCCATACACGCTAACATTCACACACACACACACACACACACCCACACTACGACCAGATCATGTCTTTGGCCATGTGGGGGAAACCAGAGCACCCGGAGGAAACCCACGCCAACATGAGGAGAACATGCAAACTCCACACAGGAATGGCAACTGTTTCAGCCGAGACTCAAACGAACGACCTTCTTGCTTGGAGTGCTAACCGCTGAGCCACCATGACACCCTACTTCATATATTTTGTTAGAGAAGTAATCTTTTTGGTACTGATTTTGTTTGGCATAATTGGCATTCTAATTAAATGTATTAAATATACTAGATGGTATGCTTTTGTTTAGTTCACATATTAGTAATATTTCACGATCTGCCTTTTTTCACTTGCGTAACATTGCAAGACTTTGCCCTTCACTATCCCAACAAAGTACTGAAGTGCTTGTACATTCTCTGGTTACATCGAGGATTGATTATTGCAATTCCCTCTGGTATCCCTCTTAACCAACCTCACAGATTACAGCTAATCCAGAACTCAGCAGCTAGTCTAGTTACCCGCTCGCATGCTTCTGAACGCATATCCCCAATTCTCTTGTACCTGCATTGGCTTCCTGTTCTTTATTGTGTACAATATAAAATTCTTCTATTAACTTACAAAGCTTTTCACAACCTGGCACCCGATTACCTCTCCGATCATCTTCACTGGTACACTCCTCGACGCTCACTGAGATCTTCTGCGGTTGAATTGTTGACAGTTCCAAATTTTAAGATGAATCATTTGGTGGCAGGGCTTTTAGCTGCACAGCACCACAGACTCTATCTCCCATTTTAAATCCCAGGTTAAAACCTTTCTGTTCAGGATTGCTTTTAATGACTTTCTGGTTTAATATTATGTTTATTCTTCTTCTGTCTTGTTTTTCATAATGTACCTGTGATGTATTGTAAGGTGTCCTTGAGTGCTTTGAAAGGCGCCTATAAATAAAAGGTGTTATTTTTATTATTATTATTATTATTATTATTATTATTATTATTATTATTATTATTATGAATATTATTATTATTTTTATTTATTTATTTTTTTTTGGTCAGTTTTCTACAAAATAAACAAGAACATTTTTTTTTTGTTTTGTTTGTTTTATCAGGGCTTTTACCTTTTAATTAGTAGGACAGTAGAGAGAATTGACAGAAAAGTGTGGGTAGCAGAGAGGGGAAGGATTGGCATAGGGAAACAAACTCTGGTCGCTGTAAGCACCGGAGTGCATGTGTTGATGCACTTTCCAGTACGCCATGGGCACCAACAATAAGCATGATTTTGATCGAACACGTTTTAAATGAAGATTTGAGGTAAAATGAAGTGCGTTCAAGATGAAGCCCACTATGTGCTTCCATCTTCTATCTGTAAAATATATCCACATTTTTAATTATTTACTTTTCTGTAAAACCAAAAATAAAAGAGTAGCCTATTTTAACCAGTTTTCACAGGAAAATCATTAAATACCCTGGTATGGTTAAGTGAAATTTTTTTTTATACAAGACTTCTGACCAAAAATTAGCCAGCACAGACTTTCCAAACTTGCTATTCTCGCCATGGCTCATATGGATATTTCAGGAATTGTGACCAGAAAAGTGCTTGAAAAAGGGGTGCTGTGGACATTTTTGATGCTTATTGAATTTTTTCACAAGCTTTTTAAATGCCAATTTCACAAATGCTGTCACAGATTTGGTGAAAAACAAAATAACATATTTTCAAAATAAAAAGTAGGCGTGGACTGGATTTTCTTTACCTTTTATAACAGTCTTGGACTTTTTTAAATTTTTTTAAAATTTTTTAACTTTTTCTTTTTCAACATTGGCTATGATGCATTGTTAGATTTAAATTTATTTCTCCCTAATTTACTGTTGGTGGCTGTTTTTGCTCCATCGACTTCTATTATAACCACATTTCATGGTGCATAAATACACAGTCTTTGTTTTTATTTACTCCATGTAGTTCTGAGAGCTAAGATGCATATTTTGATTTTCTCAGACATATCAAGGTGAGTAGAGGTCACTCTTACACTCTCACAGACACGCATACACCCACTTTAATTTGCTGTTATGCTCCATATAAAATCCAGAATCTAAGCCTTTTTTTTCTAAAGGGTTAATGATGCCAACTGATGATCAACATTAAAAATGACAAATTTTACCTCTTTCCAACAGGGAAAACCACCAACAATCAAAAAATGCATGATTATATGGTGTAATGTTTTTGTAATATACTGAAAGACAGTGGGACAAAAACAGCCACCAACAGTAAATTAGGAAGAAAAAAAAAAAAATGATGCATCAAAGGCAATCATGCTACACATGTCCAAGATTGTAATAAAAATATTTTAAAAAGCCATTCCACAATTTCTTTTATATTGAAAATACGTCATTTTGTGTGTTTTTTTTCACTAAATCAGTGACATCATTTATGAACTTGGAAATTAAAGAGTTAAAATCCTGTAATTTTCTAAACGATTTAGTAGTTTTGATCAGACCTGAGGTTGATTAACAGATTTATGCAAAAAAATAAAAATAAATATATATATTCTGGCGTAATTTTACAGCAGTTTAATTCAGTGGATGTTTTCATCCCTAACATTACAAAAATGTAGTAAATTTGCCAAGAGTGTATCGTTGAGTTAGAAAAAAAAAAAAAATCAAAGCATTTTTCTCAAAATATTTGTCAAAATAAGAGTTGTCACTGAAAATCATTCCTCTAGCTGAAACACAGAAAAAGTTATGGCCAAATTAAGACTCAATCACCCCAGAGTGGATGAAAACATCCTGAACAGCACAAAAGGGATATTATACTTTTCTGTGTTTCTTTCCTCCCAGGCCGACGTTCCAGTTTTTCTCCTGGCACACGTGTCTGTTGGGTATCATCAGCTGTGTGGTGATGATGTTCGTGATTAACCCTGTGTATTCCTCAGCCAGTATTGTGCTGCTGCTGCTCCTGCTGCTCTTCCTGCATTACCGATCTCCCACCAGCAGCTGGGGCTACATCAGCCAAGCCCTCATCTTCCATCAGGTACACACACACACACACACACAGACACACACAGCGAGCGAGAGAGAGAGAGAGAGAGAGATGGGAAGTAACAAAGTACAAATACTGTAGATTTTTCACTGGTATCAGTACTTTACTTCACTATTTATTCTTCTAACAATGTTTTACTGTTACTCGTGACATTTTTACACAAATATCTCTACTTTCTACTCCTTAATTTTTTTGAATTAAGCTTGCTATTTTAGTTTTAATGTTTTTGGTGGTACAGTCTATATTATTTCTTGTCATTGGGCAATTTGAATGTGTTTTTGATTCATTGAATATATTTTTGGTAATTTCATGTCTGCAAGCTTTTTCAGCCTAGGTTAATCACACATGGTATGTAGACTAGTTTGTAAAGTTTACCATCAGAGAGGCAGGTACAGTATGGCTAACGTGTATGAGACAGGATGAGTCCGTGACGTAAGCATGACCGAAGCCTTATTTACACTCCGTAAACATTCCTGTTCATTTCTGGGCTTAGTTTTTATAAGTAATCCAGTGGGATTTTTAGATCACGGTTTGGATCAAATCTTGGAAATAGGTTTTTCAAAAGTAACAGGGATTTTGAATTCAGATCAGACCATGTAATCCAATCTTACATTTGATTAGGATCAAACCTGCTCAGTGATTTATTCAAAACTTTGAACTCGGATTAGGATCTATTTGATCCAAAAAAAAAAAAAAAAAAAGAGAAACAGGATTATCCTGATCCCATCAGAAGGGTGGATTCAGTTGTGATTTTTTTTTTTAACCAAATAAAATAAAAAAAGTAATATTTTTTTAAGTGAATGAGCACAAAACTAATTGTTACTGACGATATGTAAATTCCTTCATGTTTGATGCCTACACGAAGCATGTCACATCTAATGAGATTTGGTAAACAACAGCAAAACAATATCAAAGCAGTATTTTGTTAGAACAAACTAAAAAAGTGTACAATGTTTTGTTGATTTGCAGAGTTTCTGTTTCTTACCATTAAAACAAACAATGGCTGATTGTGGCCACTGGTATTTTGCCTACCTGTTGTTCTTCGCTAAGCCAGTAGTCTACACTGTTGGTTCCATTTAAGGCTCTGGTAAACAGGATTTGGTAATCCTGAAATTTGGTATTTGGATCACAATGATCAAACCCAATGTTCCTTTAAAAACTGTCAAGAAAGTAAGATAGATCAGTTAATCCTGGATAGTGAACATGGGATTCCCAAATCTGGACCAATTTGATTCAAATGAAATCCTTTGAAAAACTGGGGCCTGGTGTTTAAATCAGCAGCAATTCTAGTTTAAACGGCATTGTGGGTGAACCTCCTCATATACACCCACTCCCCCATTCCTCGAGAAATAAAGGAGAAAATACTTCTTGGACTTTTTATTATTCCCATTGGAACAAATGTAATTGTCTCAAACAATTCAGACAGCAAACAAACTGAAATTGTACTAATATTTAATTACCTCTGGACCTTACTTGCCATTTTTGCATCAATTATATCATCATATAATGCTGGGGGATTGGCTCTTTTGTCAACTTATATACAGTATATACTGTTCAGCCTGTACAGTCTCTGATCTTTTAAACCAATACCACAAAATAAGGTTGTGTATCTTTCATACTGTACAAAAATCTTTAATAATAGTTCATTCATTGCAAATTTTAGATTTCTGAATTAGAAATGTAATTTCTGTTTTATAAATGTATCAATGTGATCTGAGGTCTAACTACTAACCCTAAACTAAAACAGACAGTACTGATACTTGTGAAATACATGTTTGAAGCCATACTTTACTTTTACTTGAGTAAAAATGAGTACTTCACTTCATACAAGAATCATTTTAAACTCGAGTGTCTGTATTTCTACTCTAGTAAAGGATGTATGCCATCTCTTCTCTCTCTCACACATACACAACACATATGAATGTACTAAACTTCAAATTGATGAGATGGTCTTTCTGTGCTTCTTTAGGTGAGGAAGTACCTTCTGATGTTGGACTCTCGGAAGGATCATGTGAAGTTCTGGCGGCCGCAGGTGTTACTGATGGTGTCCAACCCACGCTCCTCCTGTCAGCTCATCTGCTTTGTCAACCAGCTGAAGAAAGGGGGCCTGTTTGTCCTTGGACACGTGCAGATTGGAGATCTGGGTAGGTTCAGACAAGGGTCAGGGGACAAATGTGTAATAGTTGGAGGAAGTTGCACAAAATTCATTGACCAAGATTTTGATCCTTAGCCAATTGCTGTTTTTGACCTACAGCTGAATACCAGATGTTTTAACCCCTTCCTCTTAAAGCCCAATGTACACTTCCTCACATGCATGCACACACACACACACAAACATGCATACATAAATGCACAGCTATTCTTATTATCCTAAGGGGTCCTCAAGGGAGTCAAATCTGGACTGGCCAGAACAGGCAGCTAGTATGGACCCTTTTCACATTTCCGAGGTCCCAGTAGTGTAAGTCATCACCGCTGGGTAAATTTAGAGCGCAGTGAATAGAAGAGTACAACAAATATTTTTTTTACAATCCTATTTGCTGAAATAATAAACTAAAAACCCCACAATGGTGTTGTCAAGACTTTCAGAAAAAGGGAAAAAAAGTTTGAGATTAATAACGACAGACAGAAGAGAGAACGTCAAATTTACTGTCCTGTCCATAGACACTGCATAACAAATGCCTCGCTTAAGCAGTAATTAGTTTTTTATAATTTGATACTAAGATGATATAATACATACATTTTATGAAAAAATCTAAATATTAAAAACTGTCCATTGTGTTTAACAGTGCACATGCGTTTATTTTTATTTGAGGCCAGACAACAATTTAAGTAGCAAATTTTTGAAGACAATGCAGTAAAAAGTGATATGCTTCTTTGGAATTAAATTATTTACATTATTCTGTTTACTCAGACACTGCTTTAAATAGTAAAACTAGAGAAATGAATGATTCCTCAGTGACTTTTACATAATTTCTGAGCTGTATACTTTGAGTATAATTCCTTAAAAGCACAATATGTATGATTTTAGCATGGCATCAAACACCATCAGTTTCCAGTTTGGTTTTATAGAAACAGGGAAACACCAGAAATTATTTAAAGAGCCCCTATTATAAAAAGGTCATGTTTTGGGGGTCTCCAACAACTTTTTACCTAATTATCCTAGGGCTCCCATATGATTTGTTCAGCGATTCATTTGTTCTCGAACCCTTCCTTTGAGTGAGGCTAATCTGCACTGATTGGTCCGATGACCCAATTTGTTGCGATTGGTCGACTGCGTTTAGCGCAAGAAGGAGAAATACGCCCAATAATTAATCAGAACACAGACTATATAGCTGCGTCCCAAATCGCATACTTATGCACTATTCTACGCCATTTTGTAGTATAAATAGTGTAAGTAGTGTGTTCACACTGAAAACTCTAAAAATAATTAGTGCACTTTAATTACCCGGATGATGCACTCATTCAGCCGCTAAAATGAAGTGTGTAATGATGGACACTTAACGACCACAGGTTTGCTTGCGTAGCAGAAGGGGCGGAGCTTTCGGACGCACATGTTGAATAACTTTATTTATTTTGGATGGTGAAAGCAAAATTCTGCTACGAGAGTGATTATAGCGCCTCCCGATGGTGAATGCGGCAATACTCACGGCAGGTATTATTTGATAATTCAGTTGTTTACTTCACTGATTTGGCAACCGTCAAATGTCATCAGGGAAACGGTTTGAATTTCTGCTTAGTAAAAAAACATTCTTGTGCCATTTGGGACACCACTACATACATATACTATCCTGTTGAGTGTGTAAGTGCATAAGTACATAGTGCATGAGTACATAGTGTATAGTGTGCCATTTGGGACGCAGCTTCTATAGCCTGGTTTATACTTCTGCGTCAAGTGACCGGCGTAACCCACGGCGCATGCAACGCGCGTAGCTGTGTATTTATACTTCTGCGCGCTGTCTCTGTCTCCATTTACACTAATACGTCTTAGTTTTAAAATGGCATTTTAGAACGGAAATGATCCACATCCACACTGTGTTTTACCTAGCATTTCTGAACAGCCCTCTGTCCGATGAAAACGCACATCATGTGACCAGACACAGCCACACACACACACTGTCATGCACTCATCTGAGGAGCTTCAGAGAGCAGTGCACGTCGGACAGTTTATCAAGAATGTACCGCTGGATTGTGTCCCGCTATAGTTGTTAAATGTGATATTTGCTTCATCTTGTCTCCATCTAACGACTCTTCAGACTTTTGAATCTATAAGGTAGCGTGTCACAGCATCAGTACACTGCTACTGTCTTTCACTTTCACACTACTTAGTAATTTTAGTGAAAACCTCAGATACTGTTGGTTGTGCATATTTTTTACCGACCAACCTCCTGCGGAAAAAGTGATTAACAGGTGGTAATTTGTGTGCAACTTATCTTTATTTATTTTTGATTTGTTTATGGGTAAAACAAAGACCATGCGGGTCAGGTAATTAAAGCGGTAGGCTACACAAATAATTAATTCACTTCCACCTATGACGGCGATGCCATCGTCCATCGCAATGTTTTACATTAGACATCGTACGATGCCAAATTGGTCGACATCACCCAACCCTACTGACAAAGTCAAAAATCTTCTTATTATGATCAATCTCATGATCCCTCGCACTCCGCTAGTCTCCGAAGCGAAAGGCTCGTTTACGTTTAACCAGATCCAGCACTTCATATTTGGTATTGTTTTGTGTTGACATCGATTTGAACAGGCAAAATATCCGGACGAACGATGAATCATTGAAATGAAGTCGAAGTCGAATCTTTTAGTAAAAAATCAATATATTTAAACAAGGTGCACTTTTCAGATTTAACCCTCAGCTGGATGTTTTCAATCACTTAGAGCTGTGTTACACACTGTATTGAAGGTCATCTTCATACACCCATAATAAGGGCTCTTTATATGTTGTGGGTTTTATCAGACAGCACATTGTAGTGTTATAACAGAACCCTAAAATGTATTTTGTATGAAAAAGCAGTGCTGCTTTTACACCACATGATCATGACCGAAAAAAATAAAAATGAGTGACTGTGGCATAAGAAAAGCTTATTTGCTTTTGTGCTGCATCACACCTGTCTCTCATCAGCAATTGCTACAGTTGTCTTGTTTCAGTCTTACTCTGCTTCATAATACCATGATGATAAACATTGAATATTTTAGTTCATCCATGGATTTCTACTGGAGTCCCATAGGATGTAACGAAGACAAAAACCCTTATGATTCCACACTGTGAAGGCTTCAGGAATCTACATCTTTGTTTGTTGTGAATATGGTCTGTCTATTAGAAAAAAAAAAAACATACTGTGTGTGCTTTTTATTGGCCCAATGAAAGTGGACTACTTATATCCATAAACTGTTGACTAAACAGATTCGTAAGTGCATGCCGACAGGGTCATTGTTCTTGGTAAATAAGCAGAGCATTGTTGTGATTAAAAACAAAGATTTCATGCTCTTCAGGGAAGACACTGACTTTACAGCTTTGTCTGTAGACATCTAGTCCGAGATGGAAGAAAGTCCACTAGAAGACCTGCCAATGAATTAGTTTTGCAGACCTTTTGGCAGCTAATGTTTTGTTTTTGTGTTATTCCACAGTAAACTATTCATTTAAATCAGATTAGCTGTTAACTCAGGCTCATTCACCCTTATAGAGGACTTGCTCTTTCATTAAAATTCATGATACAGACCTGTATGACCAGTTTTCCTCTCTGAAACCTAAAAGAAGATATTTAGAAGAATTTTCTCAGCTGTCTCTTTGAGATCTGACAGAAAACCTTCATGCTCTTTAAAGTCTGTTTGCATTGCCATTTTTGAATGACTGTACAGCGAAGCGCATCAGAAATGCAGCATGTTGTCAATGGAAATGCCATGTTTTTTAAATGCTGGCAGTGTAGCCGGGCACTGACTTGTTTTATGGTCGGAGTTTTTTTTATTCATACCTGTAGAAATACCTGGAAATGGAAACAAGCAAACAAATAAGCATATATTCTCTCTGGACTCTGTCTCCCAGATGTGCTGCCAGCAGACCCGGTGCAGCCGCAGTATAATTTCTGGTTGAGTCTGGTGGATAAGCTGGGTGTGAAGGCCTTTGTGGATCTGACTCTTTCTCCCTCGGTCAGGCAGGGCACTCAACATCTGCTCCGCATCACTGGACTTGGTGAGACGTTCCTTATCACATTATCTTTACAGCGTGGAGCCAGAAAGCTGCTTTCAGATTAGATTTATCTGCATTGTTATTGTACAAAGTGCAAATGCATAGCAAGTGAATTAGTACAGTAAGTACAGTAATGTTATCTTTTCCACAGCTAGTTCAGAAACTGCAGCTGCTTCACAATATTAAACATCACTCATGTTGTTTTGACCCTTCCGACTCATCTTACATGAATACTATTTTTTGTATGTGTGCATAATTGAGAAGACACCAAAGAAATGTTTAATGTGAACTGATTTACATGGAAAACACAGAAATTTCATAATTTAAAAAAGAAAATGAATAAAGAGAACTTTGTAAGATAATTTTTAAGGTATTTGTGAAAAGACATCCTTCAATTGAGTTGGCAAAGTTTATTCATTTTCTTTTCGATTTTGTCCCTTTATTAATCAAGGGTAGTCACAGCGGAATGAACCAACAACTTATCCATCCATATGATTTACGCAGCGGATGACCTTCCAGCCGCAACCCAACACTGGGAAACACCCATATACACTCCTTCACACTTATAGACTAAGGCCAACTTTGCTTATTTAATTCCCCTATAGCACATGTTTTTAGGCTGTGGGTGAAACTGGAGCAATCGGAGGAAACCCATGTAAAAATGGGGAGAACATTCAAACTCCACACAGAAATGCCAACTGGCCAAGCCGGGGCTCGAACCAGCGACCTTCTTGCTGTGAGGCAATCGTGCTACCCACTGCCCCACCATGTCGCCCTTCACTCTAAGTTATTTTATAAAAGAAAATAAAATAAAAAAATAAAATGTGTGTATATATATGTATGTATATGTATGTATATATATGTATATATATATATATATATATATATATATATATATATATATATATATATATATATATATGTGTGTGTGTGTGTGTGTATATATGAGCAATGTATATATATATGACTGAGCAACAAATGTGCTGAGTTTTAAGTAAATCAACATACAGTAAAACCCCTGTAGTCACGATTTACATAAATATTTTTCTGATAATCTGCTTCTGTTTACTAATTCAAAAGCAGAAAATCACTGATTTGTGAATAAATGACTCTTGTATGGAGGTTCTTTAATCTAAAATATCAATAAAAAAAACTGCTTGATCTGTGTCATCAGATTAACAAATAAATGACTTTCATGAGCTGGCTCTTGTTAAGGATTCAAACGCATTAAACAGCAGTGTAGCCTAATTCACAAACTAGTGACTTAATATACAGATTAAATGACTAGTATTATAGTAGCATGTAATGTAGGTTAATTTGATCAACTAAAATTGGCCGTAGTGTGAGTGTGTGTTTCCCAGCACTGGGGGTATGGGGCATGGTCCTACAGGGTTGAGCTTATTCTGTTAATGAGTTATAGGTGTGATTTGAGAATAAACCAATCAGAGTAACATCTCTCATTCTCTTTAAGAGTTAGTTGCGTCGCACCATTGCACATTTGCTATTTAAATAGTGGACTTTGTAAGTGGAAAAACTGAATGCTTCACTGGAGAGAAAACAGTTAAACAGAGCATCTACAGGCGAGAATGAGAGATGAGCCTCCTCATTCTTTACTTTCACTTTCACTCTCTTCCATGGATAAGGAAATCTGTTGTATGCACAGACATCCATTAGCCTATAAATAATTAATTTCGTTTAAGCGCAAACATTTGTTTCTAAATTCAGTTCTAATTTCCAGCAAACTAATAAATAAACAATATTAACGAAGTGTCTTCAAAAAACTGAGTTATGTCCCAGTACACATGCTGTGCCCCATATGGTCTTAAACCTGACAGGTTGGCAAATCTAAGCTTGTTTTTAATATAACAAATATAAATATGCATATAATAAATAATACTGCTAATAATAGTAACATTATACAAAAGCAAATTGTCACGAATAAACTGAAAAAGCCCTCCGAGATGACGAAGGCATGAAGGCAGTGGTTTTTATATTTATGTAGAAAATAATCATTTTTGTAATAGTTTAATCCTTTAATTATTTTTTATTTGTAAAGATATTTTGATTGCTGTAATCCTTTGTTTATTAAGCAATGTGTAAGCGAGGCGCACAACTAACACGATCTGCACTGAACATGTAGATACATATAGATTTTATATTGCAGCCTCTTGCGATTTTTAACTAATTGCAACGAGATTTGATTTCGATTAATCAAACATCTCTACTGCATTTGAATTCATATTTACTACTCTGCTATTAGAAAAGTGTGTTCTATACATTATGAATGTCAGTAGTAAAAGTCAAATTCGGCCGTACTATACATGTCATTTTTTCATCATCACATCAGTTGCGTTGCTTCACTTTCATTCATGAATTTTCTTGCGGTGCATCATGGGATAGTGTAGCGTCCATCTGATGCGCACTTCAGAATCTCGCCGGAAGTAGTAGGTCATCCAGGTACTTCTCACAAACTGTTTTTCGCATTCTTTGAATTCAGACATATTACTCTGCTCGCATACTGTTTTTAGCGTACTATATAGTATGTAAGTTTGCGATTTCAGACGCAGCCAGTGTGTTATGTGTTACTTATAAAAGCCTAATTAGCTGATCCAGGTGTGTCTAATTGGGGTTGAAGCTAAACTTTGCAGGACACTGGTCCTCCAGGAGTTTTGGCATCCCTGACAGAGAAATGAGTAATATTCTAATGATTTCAGTCTGATTTGAAATAAAATCTAAATCAAAATGAAGTCTTGAAAAATCAAATCATGAAATTTCTAATTCTGACCATCTGTTCTCTTTTCCAGGAGGAATGAAGCCTAATACCCTGGTGTTGGGCTTTTATGACAACTCCTATCCAGAGGACTACTTCCTCCAGGACCCTGTCTTTTGCAAGGGCGACAGATCTGAAGGGGATAATTTCGGTGTGGACCTCCCATCCCTCCAGGCTCATTTTCCACCGGTGCGCCATGCCGAGAGCCCTCGCGCACTGCAGCCTCAGGAGTACGTCAGCATCATTCAGGATGCCATCAAAATGGGCAAGAACATTTGCTTGGCGCGCTACTTCTTCCAGCTGCCGCCCGAGAGCAAAGGTGCAACGTACATGTGGGGAAAAGACAGCATGGACACCATCGACGTGTGGCCGACAAACCTCTTGACTCCAGGTAGTGCCAGTTACGCTGACGTGGGCAGTCTGTTCCTGCTTCAGATGGCGTGTGTGTTGAACATGGCCAGCGGGTGGCGCCGTGCGAGATTGCGTATATTCGTGTGTGTGGAGTCTGAATCGGAAGATCAGGGCTGGCTGGCCAAAGAGGAGCAGTTTAGAGAGTTGCTGGGAAAGCTGAGGATTCGTGCTGCTATTAAGATCGTGGCGTGGGATAATGTCGCACGCATGGTTAGAGGGCCAAACACAGAGAGCCAACCGGTGTCAGAAGACTTCCTCTGTGCTGTGAATGGCCTTCTGAAGGAGCACAGCTCGACTGCCGCCGTGCGCTTTCTGTATTTGCCCGATCCCCCATCTAGTTGTGAGCTGTCCCAACAGTACCTCACCCAGCTAGACACACTGACCCGGGATCTGGGCCCGACGCTCTTGATTCATGGGGTTACCCCAGTCACGTGCACTGAGCTCTGAGAAACCAAAATGTGTTTGTGTGATAGAGAGGAACATCATGTTAGTGAGCAGAAGTGTGTTTGAGTCCTCACGCTCTTAAACACCACATCATGTATGGGTGGATGACTCCTTCAATGTGTTTTGGGATTTCTAGGTAAACGCTGCCTGATCTTGTGCGCCGCTATGTTGGTGTTGTTCTCTACGCATCATCGTTTGTCGTCTGAAAGAGCGGGTTTAGTGTTCTTGGAAAAGGAAGTGACTGCATTAAATTGGAGTTGCTGTTAATGTTCATTCATGTGTCACGCTGTAAAGCTTTAAATAGGATCTTGTGATGGGTTTGTTTTGTATGGGTGAAATGCAGTTTGTTGACTGTGTAGGGTGGAAAGAGTATCCTTGAATGAGATGTCCATGGTTATATTTGGCACCGTAATATGGGGCGAAGTGACTCACTTTTTGTTATTGTGCTTCGTTAATCATTTCTGCTTTTTTCTTGGCATAAACCAGACTTTGAACTCATTTTGTCCCAATTATAGTTTGTGAAGCTGTGAGGAGCCCTCACGGGTTTGGGTCATTGTTCGTTTCTTGGCGAAAAATCCGCTGTCCACTTTCTGATTGGAGTATGGATGTATTTACGGTCACTCGAGTAGTTCTATATAGACATGTTATTTATAATTGTGACATTTTGTGAATGTGTTTTCGTTTGTGTTTCAGATTGTGGGCCATTTGCTGCTTACGCGTCCTATTCGTTTGTATGTTTGTTGTCAATTTTACAGTTCAAGTGTATTTATAATTGTGTTAACCAACTAGAGGCGGAGCTCATCAGTGTCATCTGAATGGTCAAGACTGATGATGATGTTTGTGTTAAGTCTTTGGGAACTGAAAAGGGACACTTTTCTTAAATAATACTTGAATATTTTGCACCTCTGTGCGTGTGTTCTGTCGTTAGCATTAACAATGCTGATATCCAAGAACGATAGTTGGACCTTTATGATGGCTGTACAATAATAGAAGTACTATGCTAAATTAGCAATGTGTGAAATTCTGTACATTTATCATCATAGAAAAAGAGGTTTGTTCAACATCGCTTTGAGGATGCACAAATTGCGTTACACAATCCAGATTTCATGTATTCCAAAGAAGATTAGAAATCATTTAGGCGCATAATAACCATTAATGTACTTTTTAAAGTATGTGCGCACATGTACATGTTACTGTTAAATACAGAAAAGGATGGTACACAGGCATGATCTCAGAACTGGTGTTTCCTGAATGAAGAGTCTGTAAACGGAAGCCTAAGATTAAACAAAATATGTCAGTCATCTTTTTCCGTAATTCACTTTTTTTATTGCTGAAATTCTGATTTTGTTCAGTCTAAAGTGTGTTCAAGTCATCTTATATAAAAGTAATAAATACATCATGTAAGCAACAGTCATAACCTTTAGTGTAAACACATTGTTTTTTAATAAATTGGTTAATTTGCTTTTGTCTGTAATGTGAACCTTTTTCTGGGTTTAAGCAATAAAATGCAGCTGATAACATGAACTGCTATAAAAAAGGTCAAATTTACTCTAATTAAGACCCAAATATGTTAGATGATTATGATCAACTATATTTAAGCATTAATCCTGCTAATGTTGTTAAAGCAAATTCAAAAAAACCTGACTAGCGATGTGCTGAACATATTAAAGACAGGATAATATGAGTTATATCAACACTTTTTCAATATAAACTTACCACTAAGTTTGGGTCATTTCTGTAAACACTTTTATTAGCAAAGGTGTAATAAAATGATCAAAAGTGATGACCGTAAAGACTTTACTGTTCTTACAACAGCAACAAAAAAAATCCTATGTCAAATAAATGTTCCTTTTGAACTTTGTTCATCAAAGTTTACAAAATGTACCATGGTAATAGTATTATAGTACTGCATACATTACTGTGCAAAAGGCCTCCACCAGTAAATCTATCTATATAAAAGGTATAGAGGAAGTGCGGGGTCATTACTTTTGGGTGAGCTTATATCTTTAACAAACAAAATCCGAAAATAAGGGAAATATGTACACAATATTCAGAACAAAATGTCTTTTGGAATCAGAAGACTAGCATCAAAAGTCTGTGTTTAACGTCAACTCTTTAGCACCAAGAAACAGCTTGAACTTTTTTGCTGAGTGTTCTGAAATTTAATATCAATCTTATTTATTATCAATAAAATTTTAATAATATAATATTAATATCAATATATTTAATATTATTACATTTAATTGTAATATAAATGATTGATTTGCATATTAATTTAGTATTAATATATTTAAAATGAATCTATTTAATATCAAGCATCTTTCAGCCTTTCTAAGAGTTTTTTTTCTTAGATTTAGCATGTTCTGTCTTTTTTTTCTCTATACTGCCTATAAGGTTGCCTATACATACTGTGTATAATATTCAGGTCTGGACTCTGTGCAGGCCATTTCATGACTGTCTTTGTTTCATCAGCTGCTCTTCAAACATGATTACATTAGCAGTGTGTTTGGGATCCTTATCATGCTGAAAAAAAAAACATTACAAATGAGGTGCTTTCTAGTAAGAATGACTGACTAATTAAAACCTGTCTGTACTTTATCAGCTTTCACAATTCCTATATTAATCCCTATATCCGCTATATTAACCACAGCTCTGGCAGAAAAGCAGATCAAACCAAGACAGAAACTCCAGTATTTTTCATTCATTCCTCTGTTTCTCCAACGCTTTCTTTCAAATCTTAAAAAACATGTCTAGAACCTGTATTTTTTTGGTTGTGTTTTAAAAAAGAGAGTAACACGCTGGCTGAGTGGTAAGCACTGTCGCCTTACATCAAGAAGGTCACTGGTGACCAACTTAGCCAGGTTTCTCTCTATTTTTTTCTGTTTTTTTCCTTCACTTTCGCCCATTGGTGAAGATATATATATATATATATATATATATATATATATATATATATATATATATATATATATATATATATATTTTTTTTTTTTATTATCATTATTTTTTTTTTTTTTTCCCCCACGCCACTAGCTTGCATAGTTTGGGACTTGTAGAGCTGTGCATCGATGGATTACCCTGCAGTGTTTGGACTCTCAGTGAATATTAAAACACATGAAGTGAATTAATCTAAAGTGAACTGAACTTAAACGCTGAAAACTGAACTACATTGTTTCAATTCGCTATAATATTCTATGTGAAGCTGCTTTGACACAATCTACATTGTAAAAGCGCTATACAAATTAAGATGAATTCAATTGAGTCCTTGCTTGGCCAGTTGGCATTTCTGAGTGGAGTTTGCATGTTCTCCCTGTGTTGGTGTGGGTTTCCTCTGGGTGCTCCGGGTTTCCCCCACAGTCCAAAGACATGCACTATAGGTGAATTGAATAAACTAAATTTACCGTAGTGTATGAGTGTGTATGGGTGTTTCCCAGTATTGGGTTGTGGCTGGAAGGGTATCAGCTGTGTAAAAGATGTGCTGGATAAGTTGGCGGTTCATTCCGCTCTGACGACCCCTGATGAATAAAGAGACTAAGCCAAAAGAAAATGAATGAATGAATACTGGATATAATATTCAGGTCTGGACTCTGTGGTGGCCATTTTATGACTGTCTTTGTTTCATCAGCTGCTTTTCTCTTCAAATATTTCATTACATTATCAGTGTGTTTGGGATCATTATCATGCTGAAAAATAAAACCTAGTAAGAATTTCTAGTAAGAATTGCTGATGAATTAAAACCTGTCTGTATTTTTCAGCATTCAAAATCCTGAAAAAAATTGACAACAAGCAATATTGACAACAGCTCGAGAAAAACAGATCAAACCAAGACAGAAACGCCAGCATTTTTCATTTATTCTTCTATCTTTCTCTAACTCTTTCTTTCACATGTCTTACAAAATCTGTCTAGAACCTGTATTTTTCTGGATGCATTTTAATGAAGAGAATGAGAAGTAATATATAATGTCTTTATACCCTTGCTACTGGAGGCCTGAGACTTTTGCACAGTACTGTATATGACACTGAGGACTGGAGTGACAATGCTGAAACCTCAGCTCTACTATTACAGTAATATGTCGCATTTAAAATATATAAAAATAGAAATCAGTTGTTTAAAATTGTAATAATATTTCACAATATCACTGTAGTTTTAGTGAAATCTGTCAAGCAAGACACAAACCTTCCACTGGTTAGTGTAAATGTACATTACAGTAAACTGTACATTTATGGTCCCTAGATTTATCCAGCTAAATATGTCCTTGTGAAAATGGTGCATAGATTCCTAATTCCAATGCAAATACACATGGAATAAATGTTATTTGTGCACATATTTTGCACAAATTAAGTGTGTGTGTTTGCGTATTTGTAACAGTTGCTAACTGCTTTGTAAATGCTGTTACTGTACAGTAAGTGGATGCTTGTGCATTTTCTATCCATGCGTTCGTGTCATTCCTGTTTGGTTTTGTTCTCCGCCATCAACTCATTCAATTGTGGTTCGATGCGACGAGCGAATTTTTCCATGCGCTGCACACAAAAGGACGTGAGACGCAGCCAACCCGGAAAAACAATGGACAGAACAATGTGCTGAAAGGACAAACAATGGTGAGTTACGATTAAATATTTAAATTTCATATTCACTTTTATAAATTTGAGTAATTAAATGTTGTTAGCACACTATTACACCTTTAATTTCGATATAGTACCAACAGTTGAAACATGGCAGTATACTCTCTACTATAGATAGTGAGTGTGTGGCGTTTACCTGCAGTGCATGAGTTAAGCATCCGCTTGTGTATGTTGTGTAGCCCACAGTGTTCAGAGCGTCTCGAGCAAAAGAAGCTGCACTTTTCACCAGTGGATTCACAGGTACATTATGGGTCATGTTCGTGGAGACCATAAACGGGGCGACGCACTTGACCACAAACGAAACAGAAACAACATCAAGGTTTGCAAACTAAACAAAAAAGAACAGTGCTTTACTAGTAGTGGACTTACCTGAACAGTGA